ATTCTCGGGCTTGTTACCGTGTTCACGAAAGCCCGCCACTGCTATCTGTTCGGTCCACACCCTCGTGTCAGATTTTCTGGAGGTGAGTTTTGAAAAATACCATTCCCTCATGTATATCTAGGCTCATGATTTTAACACCCCGTTCAGGTTACGGGGCCGAAAAGTTGTACAATTTCTCTCCCCCGCTCGTGTTACATTCCCCGCCCATCTCACCCCCACCCCCTAAAAATTTGTCACCCTAATAGCATTTATTGAACAGTCCATCTTCCAGCACTCTTTAAGACGTGAATGTGTGGTTCCTTGTGGGCCGCAGGCTGAGTTAGGCTCAAACTGCCAGTTATCGACTGAGCTCTTGCAGCTTACTACTCTGACATTCCGTGGACTTCCGTTGTGATTGAAGACGAAGGTAAAATTTCCCCCTGGTGCATAACTAAGCATTACCCTGCTCTTTGTGGGGGTGAGTAGTTGGCTTCAGGACCGGCCCTTGTGGAGAAGTTTAAAATTTTGCCTTACCAGGAATCGAACCTTAATTACGGCTCCTTCCGCGGCACTTACAATGCAATTGCCCTGTTTAATCCATTGGAGTTCGATGAAAAAGACGGAATTTTGAATTTTGTATTAGAGAAAGCTGCGGCTATTAATTTATAAGTTAAATGTTCACCTAAATAATACTTAAGAGTTGAGCCCGTACCGCGAAGAAAACACCACACTCCACCCTTACGCCGTTTAAGGAAATAATCGCTGTTTATTTACAAAATACAGAATTGTTGGTTTCTGAGTTGATGGGTTGATGAAAAGACGCGACTTGGTGGACCAGAGGGAGGCTGTCCCTTCAGTGTGCACTTGGGCGTAAATCTTAGAGGCACGGACACAGCGCGACGTGTCACACATGCGCAGACATCAATCACGTCGGAGTTGCACGACGTTTCGTAACTCGGCTGGGGTTCAAGCCACAAAGCAGTCGGACTTTCGTTCTGACCCGGTACCCCGAGCACTGGTCTGAATTCGAAAGGTCATCAGGTTTCGATAATCAGCGGACATTTTCGGGCATTGTAATCAGTGTGGGGCCATGTCCAAATTAAAATAACCGGTTTTACACATTAATATGTGGTCTGTCGGTAGAC